CCGCGGCCGCCGCTGCCCCCGCCGGGACCGAGGCAAGTTTACAAACACCAACCCGGGCCCGTTTCCCCGGAAGCACTTTCCCCTCCCCCTCGCTCTGTCCGCCAGGCGGCCACATTCACTTCCGGGCTCGGGAGCTAGACGGGCGGGGGCAGCCAGAAAGGGGGTGAGGCTGAGGACGCGCCGAGAGGAGAGGTGCCGCTGGCGAGGGGGCGGGGCCGGTGTGCGCAAGGACCCGAGGAGGCGGGACCCAGGCCCGGCGCGTGCGCAGTGACGGCGGTGAGCCCCGGCCGCCATCTTGACTGAGGGCGGGAACCGGGGCCATGAAATAGTTAGGCACTGGGAGCTGGTTGAGGGAGTTGGCAGGTTAAGCTGGTGAAGACTCCTTGAAAAAGCGCCATCAGTCTCCCTTCTTCGCGGACGTTCTTCCCATGGCTTCTGAGCGGCGCCCCAAGTAGAGCCAGAATAGTTCGTACCCAGCCTTTTCATGAACTCAGCCGAGGTTGTCTTTCCCTGGACTTTCCGTCGAGCCCTGATAGGCAGTTTTTGGGGTTTCTGGGAGAGGAGTGAACTTTCTTTGCACACTCATGCCTGGCACACGCAACCGCAATCTGAAAATTAGTGTTCTTCAGAGGCGTTCCCCGAGTAGCCCGAGGTTACGCTGTTCACATCTCTGCAGAAGTCAAATCCTTGCTGTGCTCTGTGCATCCCGAGGCCTGGTTCCCTCCTACCGCTTTCTGCTTTATACAATGACCTCCAAGCCTGGAGAAGACCACAGAAGTTGGTCCCTAGGCCTGGCTGCATTAGGAAAATGGAAATGAGTCTGGCTTCAAATTCTCACCCCCAAACTTTAGCCATTAGGGACCGGTCATGCAAGTGCACTTGATGGAAGGAGATGTCAGTTCCATTTAAGTCCTGATTTCTGCTGTATGGGATATTAGGTTGTGAGTTTAGGAGAATTAATACTGATCCCAAAGAAAAAGAAAAAAAATTTTTTTTTGAGTTGGAGTCTCTGTCGCCCAGACTGGAATGCAGTGGCCGCTCCCGGCC